GACTACAAAGTTTGTAACTAGTAGAGATAATTGTTTGCTTTACTTCTTTATTTACTATTCTATGTTTTAGGGAAAAAAACTTTAAGAACTTATTTCAAAAGTAGCAATAATCTATATACATATATAATGTATAATAACTGAAATGTGACTGTATTTTACAAAATACTAGTCCACCTTTAGTCTTTACAAAGTGACCTGTCTTGGCTGTGTTTTAGTCAGTTTATATTATTGGATACGGTAACATGATAGCACATGTGTCACATCATTGTAGCTTTTGTATTCTTAGCCAGGCATGGCTGAAAGGTCAATGTAATATAAATAATAATATATATATATAAATGTAATGTTATAAGATTTAAGCTATTTAGTCTAAACATTTATGTTTTTAAGTTATAATTTGTTGTCATTCTACAATGAAAGAGGCATAATTAGATTTATTTCCTAATTTTTTATTGTAGTTACAAGATCAGTCAAATCTACTAAACCCATACAGAGATTCGTTACTGAAAATAACAGATAAAATATAAAGTTTTTTCTTAAGTAACATTTGATTACTATCTGGACATTATAAAGATTTCACATGTGAAATTTGAAAATTTTCTGATGCATAAAAGTATTTTTAATCTTAAAATGAAAATGAATTTGCATGTCGGATAGGCAACATGTGAAAAGAAAAAGCCATAAGACTTAATAAAAAGATTTGATATTTTGTGTATGAAAGCATTGTAATGTTTAGTGACAGTCTGCCAAATTTCGTTAAAATACGCTTACTTATTTAAAAGTTATAGCATGAAAACTGTAACATCAAAAAATGGTTATGAGGTCGGTCCCAGAGACCGAGCTCATGCTGAAAGAATTAAAAAGTTTAAGTACAAGGTGAAACAGGAATTATCAGCCAATGATAGATGAACATTAGATGACTGTAACATGTAGATACCCAATGCTTTGTACACTATACAGTCGGTGTCTTTAAGTAGCCAACTCTATATTATGTATGAAGTGAAAACTGTATCAGCTAGCTACTAGCTATATTTAGTATCATTACAATGTATATAGTTAGCTACCATATCAAGTTATCCTTTTCCCATAGTTGAGCATAAAAAAGCCAGCAAACAAGATAAATAAAAAATTAGGAGTGTATAAACCTGTGAATATGAATTGTAAAAAAAAAAAAGGTAAGGAAACAAGGCTGGAGATACTGTAGACATTACTTATTCAAACTACAAATCCCTATTTTGACTCCACCAAATGTAATTCTAGGTAATAGCATGGATCTTTTTCTGCCATCTAAACATTGCTTAAAACATTCTCACAATCGGTGCATCAGTCTATATACCCCATCATTTTCGTGCCATTTCTGAACATGTACATATAATGTGACTACTCTCCACCAATAGTATTTTGTCACCTATATTGGCACAGCTAGCTCCCTCTGCTATTTCCACTTAATCCTCACTTTCAAGAATTGGCAGGTTCTAAAAGAAGAATATAGGTCGTGAGAAGGAAGGGTGGGAAATGTGTGAAGATAGAATCCCACATTGCAAAGGTGGAGGGGCCAGTTTAGGTGCAAGCATAGAAACCAAGTGTAAAGTGACCACCCAGAATGAACGGGTGTGCTCCAAGATGAAAACTAAGCACACTTATAGGGTGTCACACTACGTCTGGAACAGGCATGCTCTTGAAGTAGGAAATGAATCACACATGGGTGAAAGAAAAGGATGTGCACAAATGAAATTCATTCTAAGAGATGCAGTCCATAGTAAAATATAAACGGAATTAGCTATGTGCATACACAAACTCAACTGTACAGACGAGGTTCCACGACTCATCCTCAACATTAAGATGATGTGCACAAATGCAATTTATGAGAGGCGCAATCCATATTAAAATATAAACAGAATGAGCTATGTACATACACAACCTCAACCAAATAGATAAGGTTCCATAACTCATCCATGGCATTAGGCGGTTTAAGATAACACAATATATATATATTGTAACATAAACATAGTGGCTAGGGCATGTGGACCGTGTTATATATACTCAACAACTCCAACTATAAGTAAACAGTGGCACACATCAAGCAATAGGAATTACGAAAAGAGGAAGTTAAAATAACTGTAGGAGTAAGAAGTACAACAAATTGAACTTGGCATTAGGGGGTCATGGTGTTGCCTCAACTCAACCATAAGAAAGAGGCAATTTTTATAACCAGTATTATGAGCAGAAATCGTAAATCACTCAACCGTAAGTGCAGGTAAGAGACATCTGAACTTACAAGGAGAACATGGAATATTCACTCAACTGTAGGAGCAGAGAAAGAATCTCAACCAGAATTAAGGAGAAGAGAGGCTTCTTCTGCACACAACCATAGGAACAGGGTGTTGTCATCCCAAACCTGGTATTACGAGGAGAGTCCCACATAGGCTGGACCTGCTCCAACCTATTTATTATTCTGATATGATATCTTACCTCATCTCACAGTAAGCTTTCTTGACTTATACTGCCCTCTATCGATTCAAATTTTTCGCTCTTACTTGTTTCTGCATACTGACATGCAAATGACTATGCAGCAACCTGCGACACTACCTCTATTGTAACTAGCACACTCTCTAATCTTGCACATGTTAACTACTTCTCGATTGGCAGTCCTATTGAATAGATGTGTTTTTGCTTGCAGTTTGATTCACTTACACACAAGTTTTACTTTCTTAACGTTTCTGCTTTGATTACGTTTTCATTCTCTTTTGTGAAGAGTTACAAATAGGGGTTTCTCTTCTTGCCATCTGCTTGATGTCAGTTCCTAGTGGAACTGGTGTTGGTTGTAGCTGGACAAGACACATTCCCGTATGTGTAATTCTGGTTACCCTCCTCCTTTTATGGACTGGATAACAATTCCCAACACTGCCAGGTTTTGGACTGGAGGAGAGAGAGAGAGAGAAATAATGAGACCCATGGGCGTCAAGTGGTTACGGTGCAACAGACCATAAATGGGAATTCGATCTCAACCAACACCTGGCAGCATGTGCCATTGTTCATCAGGTCCGCAGTAGGAAGAGGGTCCTCTACCTTTCACCTCAAAAATGGGTACTGGCAGGGAAGAAGAACGTCCCTACCAAGAACCCACTGCTGCATGCATGCACCTCCAATACAACACCAGAACCAGTGGGAACCAACATCCAGCAGATGGTAGGAAGGTATAGAGCCCAGGTGGGTGATCCTGCCCAAAGTAAAACCATAGGGTGTGAAAAAGAATTAAAAACAATACTCTTTGCCCTTTAGTAATGTTTCACCAAAAAGGACAGAAACAAGGAGGGACCCAAAGAATGAAAAAAAACTTCGTAAAGAGGGATCATCTTCTCACCAGCCCTCCACAAGAGGTAAGATATTGTATTGGACATTAACATTTTCCTAAACTGAAAATGTATTTGATAGATACTTACCTCCTTTCACATTTCCCACCTGTCCTCCCCACTTCCGGTGTGATTTGGTTTGATCTGACCAATTTTGAAGTGATTAACATGTTGCAAGATTAGTTATGATAGGGGTAGTGTTGTACTGCTATAGGTTGCTGCATAGTCATTTTCATGTCAGTAGAAGTATAAAGGCTAGTGGTGAGCGAAAAATTTGTGTAAATAGAGAGCAGTATAAGTCAAGAAAGCTTTTTGTAAGAGAGGTAAGTATCTATCAGAAATACATTTTCACTTTCAGAAAAATGTTAACTTTTGTTTTGACAGCTGTCCACCTTACAAAAAGCATCTAGGGGAAATGGAATGAGGGAATCCAGCTTTGCCCTCTTCTCACTGAGTGGTTAATGATGAGTATGGATGATAAAGTAAATTTCTAGACTCACTCAGGAGGAAGCCTCCATGGTCCACCACCCCAGCAAGTAGGAGCTGAAAAGTGTAAAGGACTCCTGTTCTCTATTGAAAGAAAAGGGGGAGAGATTAAATGCAGTGGGGAGTCTGGAGGAACGTTACACCAGAGAAAAAAACAATGGGTGTCTGTGATTCCCTATTTTGAAAAGCAGACCGACCCCAATTTGTTCAATCAATGGGTCAGCCGGGATGGGTTGAAATCACCATTGAGTGAAACAAACTTTGTGTGAGAAAGGTAAGTACCTCTCGGAAATACATTTTCAGTGGAAGAAAATGTTAAGTTCTAGGTAACAGCATGGAACCAAACTAAGGGTTTGTAATTTGAGTAAATAATGTTTATAGTATCTCCAGCCTTATTTCCTTACTTTTTTAAGATTGCTATTTGCAGGTTTTTAAATTCCCAATTTTTTATTTATCTTGTTAGACTTAGGCCTTTCTTGATTTTGTAAAAAAAATATACTTTACACACACACAAACAAAAAAAAGTAACATATTTCAGAGTATTATTGAACAAGAATTGTTTTTGGACTCCTGCCAAAAGCTGTTTGCCTGAGAATTTGAGATGGTATTGAGCTACAGGCTATTTGTAACTTTGTTTGGCATTTCTCTTTTCAAATCAGTTAGTCTGGGTAACTTTTTTTAGTAAAGGAGTCATCTTTGCTTTCTTGATTACTGATGCATATAGTTTTACATTTGTTGTAAGAAGATCATTTTCAAACAGCATTATATTCTAACATTTCCACAAAATTGCTTGCATTTGCAATTAACCATTGACCAAGTTATAAATTTTAAGACTTTCACAACTTGTATACACACACACACACACACATATATATATATATATATAAATATGCAATTTCCTATTAATATCACATATTTTACAAAATATCAACATTATATAGAAATTTATTAAAGTATTTTATGCATTTGTTTAAATTGTTTTAATGTATCTATTGAAACCATTATTATAATGATAATAATTAGATATATTAAGTCATTAGTAATAAACTCAGAATATCAGAGAAAAGCATATTCATAGATGTCTAAAAATCTTTCAAAATAAGCTTCATTGAAGATATAGCAGTTTCTCGATCATTTACAGGAGCAAATCTGTGAGGATGTGGAGCAACTTTCTGGATTTACAAATACTGTAGAAAATCTTATTGTTTGCATCACAGAAGATTTGAAAAACAGCTTAAATTTTGAATCATTCTTACTAAAATATCAATTGGAAAAGATAATAATTGGTGTTGATAACCTCTTAGGTAAGTTTATTGTTGGACTTGATATCTTCCTATCTTTGTTTATTGACAGTCTTGAAATTCTTTTAGGTTAAATTATGGTTGGTGTTGATATCTTCCAAGATAAGTTTAGAATTTGCTTGGATATTCACCATGTTAGATTTTGATAACCTTTAATGTAAGTTTTTGTTAGTTTTGTTAACCTTCAAGGAAATTTTATTGTTGGATTTATAATTTTTAATATTAATTGGAAGATTATGAGTTACTATGTCTCCCAAGAATACATTTAGGAAACCAAATCAAGTGCCTTAACCTCCAGGTCATGCCAGGTCCCATCTAATTTGCAGTGAATTTGTTAGTATAATAAAAATGCTCTAACACTCATTTCAAGGCTCAGTTTGGTTTCTTTCACACTTATTATTATAAACTTTTATTACGAAGTGGTATATGGATAATTCTTAAAGTCAAGGAAAACTTCAGACCATTTGTTCAAATTTATCTCACCAAATATGCTTCTTTCAGCCATGGGGCATTATAATGTGATATTCAGTCTTACTATTCGTTGGTAAAAGAGTAGCCCAAGAGCTGGTAGTGGGTGGTATTGTCTAGCTGCCTTCCCTTTAGTCTGCTACTGCTAAATTAGGGATGGCTAGTGCAGATAGCCCACATGTAGTTTTGTGCAAAATTCAAAATGAACCAAATCAATTAAAGTAGATGTTCAATAAATTAACAATATCTTAAATTTACAAAAACTCGCATGCACAAGTTAAGTTTTCCTAAACAGACTTACTTCTGCTCACACAAAAGGTCATCTCGATCATTGATTGCCATCTAAGCATTGCTAAAAGAATTTTAGTAATCAGCACACCAGTATTTATACCCCACAAGTTTCGTGCATTTTCTGAACATGTACATATCATGTGACTACTCTCTACCAATAGTATTGCGCCACCTATAACAGCACAACTAGCTCCCTCTGCTATTCCTGCTCAATTCTCACTTTCTCGATTGGAATAACATAGTTTAGATGTGTGTTTAATTTTTGCGAGTGTGACTACAGTTTTTGTCTGTGCCTTGTTACTTTTTCAGTCAAAATTTAATCTCACAATTTTTTAATTTTGTATTTGTTTTCAATTGTTTCTACAATTTTACATTCAGTTAAATTCTAGTTTTCGAATTCTATGTTTTTAATATGAATTCGAGATTTAATGTGGTGGGCAATGATATTCACACCATAAATGACAATGCACATGACACGACTTCCCAAGACATGGGATTGACTTCGTCTGCTAAGGAAGTTCAAGCCTTGGATTGGAGGGAGTTAGAGCCTTATGTTTGGCCAGTGATTTCTTCTTGTCCACCTGACCATATTTCTGAGGCCTACTGTCACAAAGAAGATAATTTTAACTCTATTTTTCCAGGACTTTCCTTTTTTGGTCTGACACAGTCTACACCTGTTCAGGACATTTCACCACCCACTCCCCTCTTACAACTTGTCAATCAGGTATGTCATGTTTTAAGTGTTTCCCCTATAGCCTATGATTTCTCTCCTGCCTTACTGGGTGAAAGACCACCTTCCAATTATTATGTTTTTCCTCCTTTTCTTGACATTAGTGATTTTCTGATCAACTACAGTCAGGTATAGGCATGCCCCATCCCCCTCATTTGTTGGATCAATGTACCTTGGCTTAATATCATTTCTCGGATCCCTTTTAGATCCTCTCCTTCCCCTGTGGGGCTAGATTCCTGGGGATTCCACCCGCTTCAATTAGGTACGATTTTTCAGGACTTGCCTTTCCCTGACCTCACTTTTGCACTACCTTTCCTCCTTCCATTTAGTCTAAGGCCTTTCATCAATCTCCTGATGTCTTTTCAGAAGAGCTCAGGACCCTCCTTTGGGCCACCATGGCTCATTTATTGGCCTCTGCTCTTTTCCTCAATACCTGGCTACTTTGCTGTTGGGACTTGTTAGTGAGGGATGTTTTACTGGAAGGGGGCTCATCTTCCCCCTTTCGTCCCAAAGCGATTGGAGACCAATCATAGATCTGTCCAGGCTGAATTCCTTTCTGGAGCCCCCTCGCTTCACCATGGTGTCCTATCTCTCACTTCAGTGGATGTTTCCCCAGGACTCTAGATGACCAAGTATGATGTGACGGATGCCTATCTTCACATTCCCATTGCTCCAGAATCTCGTTGTTTTCTATGGTTTGTCCACTAGGGTCCAGTGATCCAGTTCAGGGCACTGCCATTCTGTCTCTCTTCAGCTCCTTATGTGTTTTGTTAAATGGGTCATTTATTTGCCCCTCACCTTCACTAACTAGGACTTTGCACTCATCAATATATGGATGACTGGGTCATGCTCACTTATTCCCTTTTGCAATAAATGAATCACACACATGTTTCCTGCTACAGGAAGCAATATGGGTGGATTTTCTGACCCAGTTGGCAAAGTCTATTCTTACCCCCACCCAATAGCTGATTGAGTTGTGGGATTTCTTCAATTCACACCTCAGTCAGGCCCAGCCTTTTCCTCTTCATTTTGGGGATATGGACTGGACAATCACAAAGGCCCTTACCTCTCCTTCTCTCACGGCTTGAGAGGTTCTATAACTTTTGGGGATGTGGGCTTCTTTGGAAGCTCTCATTCCCATGGGTTGAGCTCATATGCATTCACTTCAGTGGGAACTTCTCCTTGGATCCCTTGGACCATCCTGTTATCCTTCCTTCTGTGATCAGGACAGACCTAGCTTGGTGGTTCAACAGTGATCAGACCATGGTGGGGGTTCCCATTCCTCTGCCTAATCCAGAGTTACACCTGTTCCTGGATGCATCTTTGGTAGGGTGAGGGGCTCTCTCAAGAGATTTCCAGTCTCTGGTCTGTAAAGGAGTCTGCATTCCACATCAAGTGAAGCATGGGAGTCCTTACCACTTTCAGCTCTCAGTTGCTAGGATGGTGGACCATGGAGGCTTCCTCCTGAGTGTTACTATACTTATGCTCGTTTATCTACTCAGGAGAAGAGGGCAAAGCCTGGGCAGACTGCACTCAATAAAACCAATGATTAAATATTATTTGAGGCCAGCCTATGTGGAGTCCTCCTTGTAATTCCAAGTTCAGGATGCGGGGAAAGCTGTAACCAGTATTATGGGCAAAAATCATGCCTCACTCAACCATAAATGCAGGATAGAGACATCTTGTAACTTGAATTACAAGGAGGACAAGCAGCAATTGCCTAACTGTATGAACAGAGCATAGACGTTCCATTGCCAGTATTACGAGGCAGACAAAGTCTCTCAAACCCAACCATTGAAGCAGGATAAACTTTCTGCAACTGGAATTAATGAGAAGAGAGGCATCTACTGCACACACCCGTAGTAACAGGCATTTTTTTTTACAGTTCAGTGTAAGAAAATGTTAATTTTTGTAAAATTTTATGGTTATTTATCATCAGAACTAATTGTAACAGCTTGCTAAGCTTTCGCTCTTGAAATATATCATCATAAATTGCTTGAATTGTATAATTAAAGTAAATTCACTAAATCATGCCCTTTACAACAAGTGATTCACACTTGAGGAATAATGTATGTGGTACAGTTACTAAGTAACCACAACTACATCTTGTGCAAATCATCAAACTCGGTTCTACAATATGTTGCATTCAATATTTGAAGTTTCCATATTATTCTGGTGAACGTTTTTAATTATGTGAGATTTTCTCAAGAGTTGTATTCATTGTTCTTGTAAAAATCTATAATAATCATGAACTTTCTGTTTTATAATGTGAAAAGTATGGGATTTGTTGAATAACTCCTTTCCTTGTGTTATGTCCAATTTGGGTGGATTAAAATTGCTGTTAAGTATCAAGAGAACAATTTTATATTAACATTTTTATAAAATCTTTTGTTAAGCCAAGAGATATTTTTAGCCATGAATGAGCAGCTCATAGAATGGCTCTGAGTTTTTGTTTGTTTGTTTGTTTTCAAGTACAAACTTTTAGCTCATAGCTTTGTCACCTCTTGACCAATTTGAGGTCTAATTATAGTTTTCGACTCAAGGTCTCATAG